TGACTAGGAAATATTGGGCATGATCCATTGCTGTTTACAAATACTGAGCCAAAGAATGTGTTAAAGAGGTTGGCTTTAATGGTGTCGTTGTTGCAGTCTTTACCATTAGGTCCTTTCAGGGGTGGGCTGGACCTTGAGTCTTTTAGTTTATTGTTTACAAAATTGTAGAAATTGTAGAAAGCGCATTGTAGCTTGTAGAAATTGGTGTGTAGAAGGTTTTCTTCTTGTTTAATGCGATAATTGGTGCATTCAGTTTTTATCAGGTGGCATAATTTTTTGTATCGGCTTTTGAAGTTGGCAACGTGACCAGATTTGTTTTTCTGCCAAAGTGATTTATTTTTGGATTGAAGCTTCCTGATTGTTATGGGTAATTTGTTTTTTCTGGTTTTGGGAGTTGTTGTTGGTACATATAGTTTGATGACTCTTTTGACTTCAAGTAAAAATATGTTGTAATAGTCTTCTACAGTATTGCATCCAGAGAATAGAAATTGCCAATCAAGGGATGAGAGATCATTGTTTTTAAGATCATAGTTGCCTTTTTTGAAGTTATAATTGGAGATGCCGTCGTTATGATGATTTTTGTGTGAATGTATGTTGAGACAAAAGTCAATCATGTTGTAGTCACTGTTGGAAAAGGGTTCTTTAATTTGTATTCCATAAATTGAATTCAAACTATTGCAGAAGATGAGATCGAGGCAGTTGTTAAGTCTAGTGTTGTTGGTTACTAGTTGTTCTAGTCCCAGATTTGTTACTGCATTGTAGAAGGTTGCATATGTGGGTTCAGTTGTACATTCGTTAAGGGTCCAGTTAATATGAGGTAGATTGAAGTCACCAAGAAAGATAAAAGCATGTGGGCAGGATGCTGCCCAAGTTAGTAGTGCATTTAGCTTGTTTACATGTTCGATATCATAATCAGGGGCTCTGTAACATAATAAGAACCGAAATGTGATATTTAAGGACAGTTCACAGACGATGATCTCAGGAATAGCAAGCTCCTGGGAAACTTGGATGTTTTTTAGATGTAGGGACTTTTTATAGAAGATAGCAACACTACCTCCTCTACGGATTTCACGATCTGATCAGTAAACATGATAGTCTCTTACTGTGGTAATGGAGTCAGGGAGAGATGTGTTGAACCAAGTTTCACAGATAAATATAATGTTGAATTTAGCCGTGTTTAGTAAGAGGAGAAATTCAGGTATTTTATTTACAAGGCTTCTTGCATTGAGTAGCTTGCATCTAAGACCAGTTGTGGTTGGAATAGAGGTAGTTAGGGACATGCATACCTAGTTTTGAATGATGTTCTACTCCCCCCCCCACCTGAAAAGAAATCTCTTCCACTGCAGTTCAGCTAAACCACACCAAGGTTCCTTGCTGTCCCCTCCTTGCTCACACAGCAAATATTGTTTCAGTTTCCAAACAGCCCTGACCTCTCTCACACACTGACAGGATGGTAGCCAGATGAATACCGATGGATGCTAGTAGGCAGAGGCACATTTTTCCACTTATTTTCCTCCCCCCCAACTTTCCTGATCACAGAGTTTTGTAGCGAAGCACGGGTACCTTGCTGGTCTTTAATTGCAGAGATATTCCACTCTACTTGAGGAGAGCTGAAAAAGACCCCTTTAGATCCCAACAAATCGGATAATTATTCTTGTCCATAATCTGGTTTTTCCTGGGTAAAATCATAAAGTCTGTATCATAATGTCTGAGAAAAAGATTATCTGGATTTACTTTAGTCAGGATTCAAACCTTGGTTCAGTACCAAAATGGCCATGGCCACTTTATTTAATAGATGTGTACAAAGATTTAGATATTAGATGTGAATGCATCCATTTTATTAGTTTTATTGGAACTTTCAATATGATTGATCAGATAGGTCAGGAGGAGCATCATTTTAAGAGGTTCGAATACTTATCTGCTAGCAGAAAAGCATCAGAGTCATTTGGTGTAACTAATCCTATCCTGTTTAATATTTGCATAAAGAATTTGAAGATGTTATGAAGTGTCATCAGTATGCAGCTGATACCCAGCTGTAAATCTCATTCCAGCTACAGCTGGTATGTCTATAGATGTCTTGTCTGATTTGAATGAGGTTTAATAAGCCAAAATGAAATATGATTGCGAAAGAACTACTCTTAAAAAAGTAGTAAGGCTAATACAGATCTCACTCTATATTTAGATTTAAGAATGGTTCTCGGCATGGCTTTGCTATTTGATGCACAGATGTGAGCTTTGGCACCAGAGACATACTTTCAACTTTGATTGTAACCATTTCTGTATAGCCTAATGATGTTCCCAGAGTGACCTATCTTCTTGTTATTACAGATTATGACAAAGCAATCTATGTGGAAATGCTTTATAGATACTTCTGATGTTACAGTTCGGTCTATAATATTGCACTTATGGTTTTGACTGACTTTAAAGGATAGCATATTTTTTTAGTTGCACTGGTTATTAGTTGGTTTCCAGAAACTAATTTTGTATTTTCAAGGAGCTAGTTTTGTATATTAAATGCCTAAATGGCTTGGGACAAAAGTACACGAAAAACTCTAATTTATGTGAATACTATATGCCCAACTTGTAAGAGCAGCTAGAAAAGTTTTCTTTCAAGTTCTGTTCCATACCACCAATGGGTCCAAAAACTCTTTAATTGATGAACTACTCTACCAAGATAAAATACTTTTTTTCAAATTGTCATAATACTTCTTTCTTTCTAATCTTTTTCTCTCCCAGTTGCTGATAATTACCAAAGTTTTATATTTATTATATGTAATATAGTAAGAGCTCAAGAGAAAACCTATTAATTTTTTTTTATCATTTAAAACTTTAGGAGGGCCATGAGTGAGTAAACAAGAGAAGGAGCTTATAGTAGAAATATTCCAGTCATCTTCCTTTGTTTTTACCAGCTTTTTTCTATATTTAAATGTGCATAATACATCTAACTTTGTGTACTCTTTGGGGAAATTTAGAATGATGAAGGTTGACATTTAGCATGCCTGGTGGAATTAGCAAAAGATTAGTGAACAGACCAGGAATTACAAAGACTGATTTCAATGCAAAGCCGTAGAGTTAGAATTCATGAAGACAATATAATTTTCAGAGATTGAGGAAAGACTATAATTTTTTATCTAACTGTATATGTTAACTAGACAGGAGGAAAATGCCTATATCAAACACAACTGCTGTTTTGTTTATCAACATTGTAATCAACATTGTCTTTTATTTCTTTTTTAACTAGTTCTTCCCCTCTCCCTCCCATAACACCCCCGCTCTCTCTCTCTCTCTCATTCCGTCTCTCTCTCTGTCCCTCCCTCTCCCTCCCTCTCTATGTCTGATGATGCAAACTGTGAATTAATAGCTTGTACAAAAATCTATTTTATTTATTCACATTATTAACACCGATACTCTCTGTTTATTTTAATTATCAAAGGGCTCTCCTTTATTATTAATAGATGTATCTATTAATAGATATTATTAATGCTCTCAATAGACATTCAAACAATTTTATTGAATGATATTTATTTTTACTATTAAAGCGTAAACTAATACATGCAACAATGACAATCAAAACAAAATTGGACCAAAGTAAAAATAATGAATAGTTCACATAATATTTTTATTGTGATGGAATGTAGTTCAGAGTATAGGGAGGGCCTACTTTCCCAGGGGATAAAAATTCAGTGGATCTTGGAAAGTTTGGTCAGCAGAAATACGATTAAAAGAGCTCCACCCTAGCAGTTCACAGAGTATATGCAGATAATTGCCTTAGCCTCTCCTCCATGCTGCAGCGAGAGCCCCCGATGGATAGACTCCTTCTTATGATGTCATTAAGCTGAGTCTGTACTTGTATAAAAAGCCAACACCCGGGAGTATCCCCAATTTGTTATGAGAGAAACTTCTGTTATGGATTTTTGTATGTTGTTGTTCTTTGGGTGTATTTTCTTGTTGTATGGAATACAATATCAATATTTTTAATGAATTTAAGCTGCCCAGAGTTCTGCTTTGATTGGAATGACACATGAGTTTCAATATATAATTATAATTGATCTAACCTTGAATGGCTATTACTAACAATATAAGGCATTTTAGCAATGAATACACATAAATCAAAACAACATAGCTATAATGGATTGTGAGACTCCTTGAGAAAGAGGAGTAAGAGCCACAGCCTAGCCCTAGACAATAGTCTGATAAATGAAATCTTTGTCCAAAACGAATGGGGATACAGAAGGCGCCTACGTTGTCTGAAATAAGGGAAGGTGAAAGAGCTTTCACACTTGAAAAAATTCTATTAGTGTAACTCCACAGTAAAAGTAGTGCTAATACTTAATGGTTTTGCCTTTCTGTCTGGGCTACTTTGAATGGCTGGCAATAGGTCAGTTATACTTACACACCCTGTTGGTCACATTATTAAGGGACCTAATAATGACACCATCCACATTATTTGTATTGCACACGTATTTGTGTGTTTGTATGTCTGTAATATTTTTATTTCCTTGTGTTGTTGCCGTCTTGTATCAGAAGAACAGCTTTTTCTGGCTGCTATTGGAAATCCATCCAGTCTGAAAACAATATCATAAATTAAGAACTTCAAGGCTAAGTGGGTTGTTATATTCTAAGAACCTCTGTAAACATCTTTGACTTAAAGTAGTTACTAAAACACTTGTTTGGGGTACTTTTTATGTGTGCAATAAATATAGTGACCTAAAAGAAAGATTAAGTCTTTAAGAAGCTTGATGTTTCTTCACAAAAAAGTCAGTAATGGAAACAACCATCCCCTCCTCCCAAATATAAGATGAATTATCATAATTCACGGAATCTTCCTTTCTGGTATAGTGCAGTTTTAAAAATTGTATTGCATTCGGTGTTATGTTCCTAAGGAATTCAAACCTAATCTTCTCTTGCTGTATGTGGATGAGAAGCAGCCGTAGGAATCAAAGCATTCAGGAATCCAATGCATAACTCTGGTTTTATTTTTTATTTTTCATTTTTTACAGATTGAATGGAAATATTTAGACTAGAGAAGATGAGCTAAAAGTGTTTCAACCATGTAGACAGATTTGCAAGCCCTGAAAAATGTCAGTTGTATAATGAAAGTGTTAAAAGCTTCAGACATCAGGAGCTGTAGTGGCTCCAATGCTGCTAAAGGTAATATAAAAAGTTACCAAAAATTGATATGAAACCTGCATAAAATAGCAAAACTGGGCAAGGAATTTGCGTTTTTATGCTTGATCCTTTTTGATACAGATACCATTACTGTGAGAGAAATGTTTTTAAAAGACAAAATAGTATCTGCGTGCACATTTTTAGGCACCTGTGAGGCCTTATTTCTCACCCACTTTTTAAATAAACTGTTTACATTAATTACTTTTCAATGTAATGCAATTAATTTAATGTTGTATTACAATAGTTATTGTTTGTATATGCTTTTCAGAAACTGACATGGGAAGCAATATGAAAATATAATAAAATAAAATATTTTAAAATGTAATCCAAAAAGGCAAATTTAGGACTGCTTTCAATATCAATTCTTTAACTTTTGAGAAGTGTTTCTATAGGTCTTAAGAAGCTAGGTGATATCAAGAATTAAAATACATTTTTGTTCTATCTTTCAACACGAAGCTTTCTAGACAGGTAACAAGATTTATTATGAAAGAAAGACTACAGTAAATACCATCCATCAAAAGCAAAACCTGAGTTAAAATATATCTTCAGTTATACACATAAGCTAATATCTGTATAATTTTAACTTTATCTTAATATGTCTATGGAGATTCTCATTTTATATTACTGTGATGAAAAATAGAGTAGGCTTTTGAGGAAGTTTTAAAAAATAAATAAATTTACAGCCGGGGAGGGCTGTAAAATATAGAAACAGTAGCTTCAGGTATGTAGTTTTTATTAGACCTGGTGAAATATAAACCTAATATAGAGTGCCTGATAGAACACTAACTGCAGTTGTTTTAATATGGGTTTTGCCTTATGGCCTAAGAAATAGAGGGTCTGATGTACTATTTTTCTTGTAAAATTATGTTCAAGTAGCAATATGGCTCAAAAGTCTGTATTCTAATAGAATAGTATTATCAAAGGCTAGGGAAATCAGGATATCCAGGCAGTTCAAATGAGTATAAAGATTTATTGCAAGTTTGCTTTTCTACAAGTTTCTGAATTACAAAAGGTCTAAGCAATTTGAGAGTAGATAAATAATTCAAAGTGCAATGGACTTAGATCTCTTGTGGGCATGAAGGGACTCATAATTGATGATGTGTTTTGACCCCTCCCTCAAGCTCAGCCTGGTCATCTCCTATAACCAAAGAAAACTTGAAATACAGTGTAGAAAATACTGAACCTGCATCCTGCAGTGTATTTTAATTTAATTTTTTCAACTTGCAATGCTGCATTTCCTAGAATCAGTAAATGTTTTCATTATTAGCAACCTGATTAGTATGAAGAACAAAATAATCAGTATGTACTGTATATTGAGATTTCAAGTATATAAGAATAGAAGAGAATCTGCATGGTTTTCTGATGAGCTTGTCTAAAGTTATATGTGAAAAATCTTAGCCTGACTTAGCATATTTTGGGCTAGTTCCTAATTCTCTAGATATAGTACATCAAGTGTATCATCTTTTAGGAAGTAGGAGTTATTGTTCAAAAATTCTGAAACATCAGCTTTGGGGAAACTGTTTTAGGGTAATATTAATAAACTGGCTTTAGCTGGCGAATTAGGAGACACCACCCCCTCAATTGGGATAATTTATTTGACATTTTTAATATTACCTGTTGCTGGAAAAATTTGTTAAGAAAAGTGTGGTGAGATGGTTGCTTGGTATTTAATTTTGACTGGATGAAATATTAATATTGCATTTTGGCATTAAAATGTTAATTAAATAGCAGATTTTATGAATGCTGATATCTAATGTCGTATCAGCTGGAGAATAAATGTCTTTCAAGATCTGTTTAGGAAAAACCCCATTGTTTAAATGAAAATTTACATTGTTACCTTTATCTTTTTTTATAGAACATGACTGAAAAAGTAAAAGATTGCTTAGGAGAAATGGTAACAATCAAGACAGAACCATGTTCTCCATGCCAGGAAGAAGAATATGGACAATTTGGGTAAGAGCCTTTGAATTTCTAACTTGCATTATCAATATAGGAATCCTGTGCAAATTGCAAAGACAAATAAGGGGGATATGTGCATTGTGAGGTCACAGTGTAAATCTTGACCTTTCATATTTGTGTCCCAGCTTCAGTCACAAATAGTTCTCAACATTGGGACATTTATTTGTTGGATTTTTACATACCACCTTTATTTTTTGTTCATTCAAGGCAAAATAGGCATAATGTTTCTGCCTTCTATTTTCCACCAAAATAGCAATTCTATCCCTGTAAAAGCATTTTGGAAACTGTTCAAGCTGTTTAAGATATTAACATTTATTATAAGATTGATTTGAAAACATCTTTTTTTTCTATATCCCCCGTGGCTTGGTCAGCATCTGGTCCTAAAGCTATTTATTTCTTCCCAACTTGGTATAGCAACTTGGGTTAAGGGGAATAATATATCTTCTTGTACAGAGAAAGAATAGAACACCTGTTCATAGCAGACTAAGTGGAAAATGTGACTTGGACAAATACCTCTTTGTATTTCTGAAAGAGAGGGATTCACCATGGGCAGAGTTGAGAAGAAGGCCTGATGTTGAATGCTGATGGCTTGGTTCATAGTTCACCACTAAATCATGGGGTTTGGTGAAGGCTTTCTATTGTTAAATGATTATTTTAAGTATGGCAACAAAGGTTTCTCCTGAGAGTCTTCTTCTCTTTTCTTTCCTTTATTTATATATCCACTCATTGAGAAATTGCCCACCCATGCTGTAAGGAATTAAAATAGCAAGTCAAAATAATACATGTAGGACAACAGGCAAACATGTTTCCTTGTTTTGATGTATTTTTGTTGCTTAAGGAGCAAAAGGGAAGCGGAGGACATATTTGAAAATAGTTGAATGTACTGGAGTTTTGGCACCAAGTCTACAAATTTCCTTCAGAAATGAACTCACAGAAACTTGTAGACCTAGTGCCAGGACTCCAGTACATTTAATTGATTTGATTCAAAAGAAGTTCCAAGAAGTGAGAATTCAAAAATATTTTGAAATAGGTAGTAACTAAATTGACATAAGAACTTGAAGCCAAGCCAAGAAGTAGGCAATTAATTTTAGTCTGAGTTAAAGCAACACTTTTTCTTTTAATGACTCTGTAATTCCTTGCGTCAGGCTGTAGTCAGGGTCACTGAATGGAGCTGAACGTTTACTGGCTGGATGTCCTTCCTGATGCCTACATAGAGCTTACAGCAGATATTTTCTCTTTGCGCCCAGAGAAGTATCTGCCACTAGAATAGAATAGAATTCTTTATTGGCCAAGTGTGATTGGACACACAAGGAATTTGTCTTGGCGCATATGCTCGCAGTGTACATAAAATAAAGATACATTCATCAAGAGTCAAGAATCATAAGGTACAACACTTAATAATAGTCATAGGGTACAATAAGCAATCAAATCATACTAAGAAACAGTCAATAAAAATCGTTAGGATACAAGCAGCAAGGTTATAGTCATACAGTCATAAGTGGGAGGACTGAATGCATAGCTTCCAGATTGTGAGGCAAGAGCTTCACCTCTAGGCCACCAGCCTAGATAACGGCTTATACTCATTCTAATAACGGCTCTAACTTGTTCTTATAACAAGTATAATGGCTTATACTTGTTCTAATTTCTGTTTCTTCATTTTCTATAGTAGAATATCACATATGTTCTCTTGTTTTGTCAGCTCTCAAAAGTTTGACTCTCACTCTGTGGATGTGGAGCCTAAAAAGCTAAAAGGAAAGCAGGAGTTGGTCATGTCCAAAAGTTTTCAGCAGGTGGATTTCTGGTGTAAGTATTGTATTGGTGATTTAACCATTCTAATATTAAACAGTTAAAATAGAAAATGCAGCAAATTGAAAGCTCACAGTTACTATGTTAACAACAATTGTAAAGCTAAGGTAGGGTTATGCAGCACTTGGTCCATATTGTTCCTCTTAGGATTCCACAATTGGTTTTTTCCACAATTAAATTTTGAAATGCTATTTTTTTCCAGATTTTCCAAACTTCATAAGATATTGACCATCTCGCTATTGATAATCATGATCTTTAATAACCTTGAAAGATTTGAGCTATTTTAAAATTAATTTTCAAAATATTTATTTGGTGCTACAATATTGTGATACATGATGGCACCAGCATCTGAAAAGGTTTCCAACCCTATAGCTAAAAGTTTTCATATATTTTTCTATTCGATAATATAGCTTATATCCAAGAGGCAATTTTAAGTATATTCAGCAGCATAACTTAAATCCATGAAATCAGCTAAGATTTAAGAAAATTTGAAGGACAGAATTTTCAAAAGAGCGTCTCAACAAGTTACAGTCTTTGTCTGTCATACATGTTACCAGAGGAAACATGGCAAACTTTCTCTGACATATTTGACCTTAATTCTCAAATTGAAATTATCCACTGGAAAAGAAGTTTCTGTTACCTATAATGCTAGCTGACATTATTTTTTATGATTAATCTGTAAAATCCTTGGTGCTCTCTATGCTTGGTTGCTTGTTGCAAATGTTTCTTTCCAGAGTAGAAGATGGAGTCATAAAGGAGCTAATTTTATTTTATTTATCAAAAGGGACATACCGGTAATCAAGTAATGTGGCTTGTTTTTATTTAAATTTACATCCTAGCCCCTCATGTTATATATTTTTTTAAAAAATCACAAGAGTCCCATGGCAAAGATGTAACAAAATATTAAATTTACTAAAAAAAAAACCCTTTTGTCAAAAAGAAGTTGTTTCAATTTTATAGATTTGAGTATGGGAGACAAGCTGTATATAGAGAAAGCAAAAGTCAGCCAGAAAAAAAAAAATCTTTAATAACCCTAGGGTTGCTTATCAGTCTGACCCTGTACAAGTAGTCCTCAACTTAGACCATAAAGGACACCAAAATTAATGTTGCTAAGTGAAACATTTATTAAGTGACATTCATTAAGCTCCATTTTATGATCTTTCTTGCTGTGGTTAAGTGAATCATTGTAGTTGGTAAATTTGTAATACGGTTGTTAAGTGAAACTGGTTTCCACAATGAATTTGCTTGTCAGAAGGTCACAAAACATCTTGGACTCTGCAACCATCATAAATATGAGTCAGTTGCTAAGCATATGAATTTTGATCCTATGACCATGGGGATGCTGCAATGGTTGTAACTGAAAAATGGTCATGTCATTTTTTTCCAGTGATGTAACTTTGAACGGTCACTAAATGAACTGTTATAAGTTGAGGACTGCCGGTACAAAAAGTTTTGCAAAATATTTGTTACAGTTACAGTTGTTTTAGGCTTGTCCATGCCTAAAATGAAGCATATATATTTGGGGTATTTGCCTCCATGTATAGAACTGGGAAATAGCCAAGGGTCCAAAAAATGGTGGTAAGCAACTCATTTCCTGAAAGATTAGCAGCAGCTGAGGGAAGAAGAGAAGGTGCTAGAAACTTGTGGAATGTTCTGAGGGAAGGAAGGAGCATCAGAATTTTCTTCCTGGTTTCCCAGATTTTATTTGCTCTACCGCCTGGAATGAACACATTCTAGGTTTTCTTCTGCCTGGCCTGAAATGATTTAGCAGAATCTACAGAATGCAGTGGTTTTGTCCAGCATTTGAAACAAAACATTTCCCCCATTTTGTGCTACAGAATTATGCTGTAAACCTAAAGCATAGAGTAAACCATTTTTTTTTGAAAGAAAAACATTTCCATTTTTGTGTTATGATCTCCAAGTTGTCTGACTTTCTATTTCTAGTTTTGGTAATATCTATAAAATTTCCCATGTGGAAAACCGTAGATGTATGCTAACTGCTTACTTTCTTTTCTTTGAGTTCTGAGCAGGATCATATTAACACTTTTGGTAATTATTTTGTAATGAGAATTGGCATACTAAGCATTTAAGCAAACGTTCATGTGATTCTTCTACTGAAACAAAGACATACGGATCTTTATCTCACATGGGTGAGAATTGAGATTCCAATTCAGAAAGCATTAAATATATCTCTTCAAGTTTATGCCACAATTTACATTTAAACAAAACTTGGCATTGTTCTGAGACAATATGCAATGAAAATTACATTGATTCCTTTATAGTATTGCTTTGAACTCTTGTTTTGGTTCAAAAAGTTATAATCAATGTCACTGTTCTTATATGATTCCCACAGTGCTGATCTTGCCAGAATTGCTACCCCTTTATGTGTTATTTCCAATTTTATATTGGCAATCTTATGAGGTTGCAATAGAATAATAGATAATGAGTAGTTAAGAATAATAGATAATGAGTAGTTAAGAGCCACCAGCAAATTTATCCAGTTGTAGTCTGGTCAAGCTGCATTTTCATAAAAGATTTTTAAAAATCAAGCCTTGGAACTATTAAAGAAACTCAGGAAATTATGAAAGGAATACAGTACTAATGCATTAATTGCAAACCTTGGCCTGGTACTTAATTATGAACAAGAGCTACTTCATAAGCAAGAACATTCATTTACATGTTATGATATGAATGTGAACTATTAGGACTAATTCACATGTGTTTCCATCTTTTTTTAAAAAAATCATTGGGCTAGGAATAATCTCTAGTTCAAAGAGCCTCAACAGCAACTGTAGTATACATTTTCGTGCCTTAATTCATATTGTACTGTTTTCTTAGTATTCGCTGTGTGGAGTAAGGATGATGTATACAGGGGAACACAAACATAATAGATGTGGTAAACTACTGTACAGTTGTTTGCTTCTGCTTCTAGGAGTGGTTGGGTTAAATAATATTTGATTCTTATAGGCAAGAATTTCTGAATTATACCTTCATTCAGGAAGCAAACAATTGGTTTCCTATTGCAAATGTTTGCAATATTGAATGGGCTGAAATCCTTGCTGAATGCATAACCTATGACTCAAAGAGATATAGCCTTATGGCTGGGAATTGCTTTTTAAGGAAAAAAGTCTCTTAGTTATTTTTGGTAATTTGTTTACAATGTTGGTGGAAGTTGTACCTTATCAGCAGGTTTTATTTGAAAATTAAAATTAAATTAAAAAAACTTACCGGCCTCCTTAGCAAGATTAGGAGGGCTAGACTTATTCTTGTTATTTCCTCTTTCTATAGTTTGTGAGTCATGCCAGGAGTACTTTGTAGATGAATGTCCAAATCATGGCCCACCAATGTTTGTGTCTGATGCTCCAGTACCCATTGGCATCCCTGAACGAGCTGTGCTCACTGTCCCTCCTGGCATGGAAGTGATCAAAGAGCCAAATGGGGAACGGGATGTACGCTGCGTAAATGATGTTATCCCCAAAGGTCGCATCTTTGGACCATATGAAGGGAAGCTGTCTAGTCAGGACAAGTCAGCAGGATTTTTCTCTTGGCTGGTGAGTATTCTCAGCTGGGTGATTCTTTAAGGAATCAGTGAGATTAACATCTGTGCATATTTGCATGTAATTCAGCCATAAGAAGAACACGTGTAATAAGAAGCTCTTCATACAACTAATCTTCAGGCAAGGATTAAAGTGTAAAGAACAAAGTAAAACTTGGAAGTCAGGAGTCAGGTTTTCATACAAGAAAGAATAGTTCCGCAGACTGCAAAACCCAGCTGTTTTCCAGATGCATTTTTTTTGTCAGTTTCAATAAATAAATTGGAAATATTGTTCTAAGAATGAAAAATTAAACGATTGCATTTATTCATTTAATTACCTTATACTGCATGAACCTAACTTTGTTATTATACATTTGGTTTTTTTCCCCCAGATCGTTGATAAGAACAACCACTATAAATCCATAGATGGAACAGACGAGACTACATCAAACTGGATGAGGTTAGTCTGTTTAGTATACATAATTTCCCTGTGTGTTTTTATTTGCATCTGTAAAAAGAAAGAATACACTTCCCTGTTTTCAGTTTTTGAAAATGAATTATGCATGACTTGATTTTTAATTTCATTGATAAATTTTCTTTCAAATATTCTGTTTATCTTTTGAACAAAAAAGCAGAGTTTTATAGGGGACAAGAGAGAGCTTGGTCATTACAGTGATTTAGCCGTGATTTCTGTAGCTTGTTTATGATTGCTTTTTATGTGTATTAAAATAATTTCAAAAAGATTTGCTAGTAGATCAGAACAGAAATGGAAAAAACTCTGTTGTAGGAAACTTGCTTGATCCTTTTTGTTAGGGTTATTGGCTGTTTTATCTTTGTTTTAATGGCACAGTGGGACAAGTAGACTAGATGTATCATATCTGCATCCACAAATTTAAGTTTGATAACTCCCCTGTTATTTCTCATTGATTTTCACAAAAACTTCTAACTATTTGTACTTTACATAAAGTATTTCACAACTTTGCTCATGAAGAATAGGACAAATTGGTCAGTAATGTGCTGCTGCTGTTTTATTCCCTAAATCTGTCTCGATCTATATCTAATTGTTATGGTGGATCTGTGTGTAAATTTATGCTATATATTATGTCAAATGGTAGATGGCTCATGACAAAATACTTTGAAGGTATTGTAGTAAAAATAATAATTTTTTAAAATAATTTAACAATGATATGGGTAAAAATTATGGTATCTGTATTGCAAGAGTTGGGGAAATTTGATTGATAACTTCCAGCTATCCCTTATCCCTTTAAAACTTCCAATATCCCTGGAAGGCATATTATATATCAGAAATGTATCAATTCATTCCTTGAAGATGTATTATAACAGATGAAGTGGCACACTAGTACCAAATATCAGATTAACACTGGTTATTTTTAAACCAGTCAAAACATTTCCTTCTGTATAGAAATTTGCAATATTATTTTGATTTACTTCAAAAGAAATCATATTGAACTTATTATGATTTGTGAGTAAACATGCCTGCATATAAGTGGAGTGCAAATATAACAGTAAAAGTATAACAGTAAAGGTGGAATACAGAAGAAACTAGTTAATCAGAAGTATTCATCAAATTAAAAAATAACAAATTAAGGCAAATATCTATATATATTGATACTAGAATTTGCTTGCGAGACTTGTGTTATTGTATATTCCAACCATCTGGACTTATACTATACTGTAGTCTAGCGTTGTTCATGTCAGTTTTCTCTTCTCCCTCCTTTTATTTTTCTTTTCACATAAAATCAGTGTTCTGTGGCTACTACTAATAATTAGTCTTCATTGACTTAGTGGCCATTTTTAAATATCTTTCCACAATGTTAAAAGAATATCTAATTGAATAGCCTGGCTCCAACAGAACATTGTGGAAATAGTGGGGCCACTTATAGGTTATCCTCTCAAGTCTTAAAAAGTTTGTTGAGTTCTGTAATACTTGTTGATATTAACAACTTGTTGGTATAATGTTGACTGAAATTTGCAGTTGAATAGGAAATAGTTTTATTCTATCTTTTTAGTTTGCTGCCTTTCTATTTTCTTCAAAATATCCTCAAATTGTAGTAAGCTGGCACAGAATTGTTTTGTATTTTCTAAAAATGCTTGTGTCACATTATTAAAAATAGATTAACATGATAGGGAAAGGAAAATACGGTATTTTCAAACTGCCACATTAGCTAGGGAAATATGCTACTAGTAAAGAAAAATGTGGGCTACCTTTTCTCATTGGAATAGGATAACCAATTTTTGGTTACTGATGATGTTGACAGGAATATAAACCTAGAACAGTACCAGTTCTTTTAAAATATTGCCTGGGTTTGAAATGGTAATGCTACAACAGCTTCTTTTATGGCTTATGCTGCCTTAAAATGGTCAAAGTATTCAAAAGCATAAATTTCTTTCCTTTCTTACATTTTATTTTGCTAAATTAAAATTTGAAAAATTAGGATGTACATTTGAGCTTCATGGTCTCTTTGAATGTTCAGTACTCCAGATAATGAAGTAAAATTGATAAATCCTTCTTCTTGGCACTTGCAATTATGGTCAAATTACATCTGCCCAAGCCTTCTAAAATAAGTTCCTGAAGAATTCATTACTGAAATGTAATTTATTTCTGAGTACATTGAACTTAGGTTTGCATGAAGATCTGGTATAATGGGGAAAATTGTTATACTTGATGTAAAATTCAGCAGAATACAGAAAATGCAGTATTTTAACAAAATACAATATGGTACATTCTGAATTATTCTGGGGCTCCTAGAGCATCTGTTGATATAATTTATCATGGGTTAAGTGTATTATGTGCTAGTTCATCTTATTTGTGGGGAATGGTTAGGGAATAGCAATAGCACTTAGACTTACATACCATTTTATAGTGCTTTACAGCCCTCTCAAAGTGGTTTACAGAGTCAGCAAATTGCCCCCAACAATTTGGGTTCTCATTTTACCCACCTTGGAAGGACGGAAGGCTGAGTCAACCTGGAGCCTGGTGGGATTCGATCTGCCAAACGGCAGTAGAAATAGCTTCCAGTACTGCACTCTAACCACTGCGCCACCGAGGCTGCTATGGTTATATGTTATTAAAATACTCTTATCTGTCACATTTTTGAACTATGCAATGTTGCATTTTTCATAAATATAGAAAGAGTTATTTTCTGGTTAAGTATTTGTCATAGACATGTGATAAACATTATGGTTGCATCATGAAGACTTTTTAGCAAACTATTGTATTTGTTATTTATAGGATATTTGCTAAATATGTCTAGTATGAAATGTCAGTCAAAGCCCATAAAAGATAGAAAATTTGGATGAAATTTGTATCAGATTACAAAACACTATGGAAAATAGCTTGTGAATCTTTCTTGCAGATAATATCACCAGTTCTCAGATTTTTCCCGTTTTCCCAAACAGTGTTGTAAATTTTGAAAGTAGCCATGGATCTTTTTAGCAGTTCTCTTTTGTCTATTAGAACCTGCTTGTAACATCAGGTGAACTTTAATTAACCTATTTAACAGAAAGACTGTTCATTGTTTCCTATGAAAGAAGCAAACATCATTTTATCAAGGAGGAGAAACAGTTGGTAATCTTATAAAATTATCAGTGTGGAAAATCCAGAATACCCTTGCTAATTTTATTTATTTATACGTTTAATCTATTAGGTCTCTTGAATCATTGCCCAGTGGTAACTATCTTCAGGGTCCATTTTTATGTGAATCAATAAACATAGTTTTTAACCCTAGAATTGTTTTTTGTATCAGAATCAGAATATTTGGTAGTTGTTTTGTTTCTTGCCAAAGATAATTAAATTTCTCCAAGAATGAACAAAATTCTCCAAATACCTGTTATTTACATAAAAAGATTACACAAAATATGGTACAAGTTGCACGTGAATCTTTGTTCCCCACCAACCTAAGAGGACTGCTGTTATACAAACCAAATATCTTCTTACTTTCTGTGCTTGTGTAAGAGTGGAAGGCATTTTCTTGAGAGAAAGCCCATCAAGCTGGAAATTAATATACAGTGGGACATGTTTCTTATTTTTAGTAGTGTGAGTATATCACATTGATTTCCTTTTACCATTTATCCTTTGTGGGATATTTAACCCAAGGAACATGACTGAACGAAAGGAAGCCCAAGTTCTCCAGGGAAGAACTGGACATTCTGGTCACTGAAGTGACTCAGAACGAAGCCAGGCTGTTTGGAAGGGAGACAATATGTCTATCTCTTGCAGACAGGGACAAGATCTGGGAAGTTATAGCCAGAAAAATCACATCAGTGAGCCATGTTCCCAGGTCTGTAAAAGATATTAAGCACAGATGGGACGACATGAAAAGAAGGACCAAAGACAAACTGGCATTCATGCGGAGGTCCATCTCCAGTCCCAGCAGCCCGGGAAGGCCCTCGGCCATTGTCCTGACCGCCCACGAGAGAGCCATCAAGTCGACGCTGCATTCGTCACGCCAGATACACGGCTTCTGGAGAGCGGATCTGGACGTGGTTGACAGCCCATCAACCAGTTGTAAGTATTATCTCTTGTCTGTTCCCTGCTGTACAGCTTGGTTCTGACAAAGAAATGTATTATACAAAAGTTAATGCTTCCCTTTTAGGTGAAGAACACCTTCTAGTTCAGATTTCCTGAAGTATTTAATATTTCCTGCTCTGGGTACTTTCTTCATTTCTTGAATAAACTGATATAGGCTGTGAATCTTATTATTCAGGTTAGCATAAAGGATAGGAAATATGGTACTGCCTCACCTATAGAATGACGTGTGATATATGACACATATATGCAACAAGGGAGAGAAGGGATCACAAATGTGAATCTTACTGTCATCATTAATACATCCTATATAAATACCAGATATTTTTATTATTTATAGATTGCATATTTGCTTACTCAAAAAATTTATTTGTAACTGCTAGTGGCGTATATTCACAGTCATGCAGAGTTGAAATTGGGTGGTTAACATTTAACCCAATGTGCGTGTTCCTTACCATAGTTTCAGCATTTGCTAATTCAGCATTTGTGGCAGTTGTAACTACTGCAGATAACAAAAATTGCTTCTGTATTTTCTCCATAGATGTAGAAATAGTCTAAAAGAGGCTGGTGATGTAGTTGACTATTGGTACATAATCCATATTGGTGTTATCCTTACTTCCATGGTCTTTTCTGATATTGAGCCAAACTGTACAGGTTAATGTACTCAACCTACATATACCTAGTATTCATGTATTACTATTCTCTCGTCCCATCAAGAATTTCAGCATTTATTCATATATGGATACGTCCTGCTTTATATATATACATTGTCCATATTCAAAATGGGATTTTGCTACTCAGTATATCTTAACCGGCATTTGTGATTCAAGCAGTCTCTAAATTAAGAACAAGTTCCATTCCACAACTCTGTCTTTAATCCAAATTCATATTTAAATTGGAACATCTAGTTA